TATATATATATATATATATATATATATACACACATACATATATACAAACATGGTTTAAAAGGAAATATGCAATCGTACTTCATGATATTGCTTTGTTGCAACTTCTGGAGTTGGGCCCAAAAACATATAAAAGTCCAAAATTCCTCCAATCATTCGGTAAGTTAGAGCAGGAGTTGGCTGGAATGTAACATCTGGAAATCCAAAATATGATTACATTTTATATATGAGATATTCATTTATATAAAAAGCATAAATATGAGCAATTCAGCAAGTGACTGTTTTACCCATTGCATTGCTGTTGAGTAAGAGAACTCCATGAGCATTGCCCTCTTCTTCCAGAGCCATGTAATAGGGATGAAATCCATAGGAGTTAAGTTTATACTGAAATAGAGAAAATTTGAACCATAAAATATATTTAAATAAGGTGAATGTAGTCATTCTAAAATTCATTATAAGATTGAATCTCAGGTTTCCAAGATTCTTTTTTTGCATATTCAAACTATGTGTGAATTTAAATAAATAAATTTCCTTTAGCAAATAATTTCTCTATTGTTTTAATTGATAAGGCTTTAGAGCATGCAAATGATTCCACAAATGTGGAACAATCACAGAAACTACCACATTCACTGATGTAAAAGACCCTTGATATTAGATTACTGCTTTGTTTTGTTTTTTTCCCACACAGTACATGTCTTAATTTATGTATAAATTGGCACTTCTTTTTCAACAACAAAATGTCCTAGAAATGATAACAGTAATAAAATGAAATGATGAAATATGATAAAAGTACTCAGACTACTCATAAAGTCCCATCTGAAGCTTGTGTATTTTATTTTGTAAAGCATTGAATTTCGTTATCAGCTACATCATTATTTTCATAATAGAAAACTTATGCAGAGTCATGAAATGACTTACTAAAGGTCACTAAACATGCTGAGGACCACAAAACAAATCAACATCTTTTAGCTCAGTCTTGAATTTCAGTAACTGATTACCGTGTAAAACAATTTTATATACTGAGAATCTAGGTTTATTTCACCTAATAATACCAATATTCATTTTAAAAGGGTTTTTAAGAAACAAATTTTGGTAAAATATGTTCTTTCACCTTGGTTTAAATGAAAAAGAGCATTCAATAATCTAAGTCAGAACTAATATGACAAAAATAAAATGTTACTTGAGCACTAACACAATAAAAAATGGTTGCAATAAAGCAAACATTCATATCTTCCATTGAATATATCCCTTACATACACATTGCATGTACAAAATGGAAATAAGTTAGTTTTTTATTAAAATGTACTTTTACATATCATGTTTGAACCAATTATGGTTAATATTATTTGTTATGCAGTACATTAAATATTCATTAAACTTGTTCCATTAAAAAGTTAAAACTTAGGGAAAAGTGTCATGAGCATATAAAAACACTTGCTAAAGATGAGTAGCAGTATGGCCTCATAAAAATGCAGGACTACAACTGAAGGTGATAAAGGACAAAGTTAGCATCAAATCATTACCTAAAATCTTGAGAAAATTTCAAGAAGAACCCTGGATATTTAGTTTCTACAGAGACTGGAGGTGGGTTTGCCAGGGAATATTGATTTAGCATGCTCTTTGTATGCAGTGAAGAGGGGTAAGGAGTAGGGTCACAACCTTGCTTCTCACTGTAGGCAACCAAGTTGTCATCCATCCAGTTCTCAACTTTTGTCTATAATTTATGGTGACTTTTTTCTGCTCCCAGAGAATCACAATAGCAGCTCTTGAGATTTCTAGATTTTCTAAAACTCCTTTATCATACTTCAACGCTAAAATATATGCCTACAAAGAATTGGTTTGGATCCTAATCATGGTGTGATCAGTTGCTTCATTGGGTAATAAAATCTTGCTGCTTACATTAGGGGGCTGGTCTCTTGTAAACATTCCCCAAGTATGCCAGTTCATATCTCTCTTAAATGCTGAATGTTCCACTTCCCCAAATCCATATATATATTGTGATGGCAGACGAGTAGATATTTGAATGAACTGGTCATTAAAAGCAAATCCTGGCAGATGAGAATCCCAACTAGAAAGAGAAGAAAACAATTCTATTCTTGAAAAAAAAAAAAAAA